CAGGGTTTTGCTATTATAGTTCAGCCTGGCCTTGAACTCACTACATAGCTGAGGCTGGCCTCAAACTCATGACAATTATCCTGCCTCAGCCTCCCAAGTGCTGGGATTAAAGGCCTGTGCCACCACGCCCAGCTTTAGTTTCTTTAAAAATAAAAATTGGAGTCATGTTGCAAGATGTAGTGCAAGTAATATTAGGGCTTACCTCAGAGCTCTACCTGCAGACACTGAGGGGGCGCTCTCATGGCCCCTAACATTGGTATGAAGTGGCCTATTTGCATAGTTTGTAGAGAATTCTTATTCGTTTGTTTTGTGGTCTGGGGATGGAATCCAGGACCTCTCACATTCTAGGTGAGTGCTCTACCACTGAGCTGCATCCCCAATTTGGAATCTGTTCGTTTATATATTTGGTTTTTCTTTAACAAGCTGCCTACATTAATGATACATGCTGGCCTGTTTTTACACATCCCTCTTCTCACACAGCTGTTTGTTTTTTGATTTATTTATCTATTTTCTTTCTTTCTTTCTTTCTTTCTGTCTGTCTGTCTGTCTGTCTGTCTTTCTGTCTTTCTGTCTTTCCTCTTTCTCTTTGTACTGGGGATCGAACTCAGGGCCTTGTGCTTGCGAGGCAGCCACAGGTGCCATGGAGCTAAATTCCAGCCCAATTTTCTTTTATTATTACTTTTTTTTTTGGGACAGGGTCTCACTGTGTAGTTCAGACTAGGTTTGAACTCACTGTGTAGCCCAGGCTGGCCTAACTCATGGTGGTCCTCCTGCCTCAGCCTCTTGAGTGCTGGGATGATAAATGTGACCCACCACATTTTTCTCATTTTTTTGTTGTTTTTTTTTTTGTGCTGGGCATGGAACCCAGGGCCTCCTGTGCTCTGGGCATGTGCTCTGCTGCTGAGCTGCACTGCACCCCCTGAACTGCATTATATTTATGGAGCGATTTAGGGGACCTGCCATGTTTCCTCCTAGAACATAGTGTCACACTGTGCTCGTTTTTTTTGGTACTGGGGATCGAACTTGCGTCGTTGGGCTTTTCGAAGCAAAGCAGGCATTGAAACCACTGAGCTAAATCCCTGGCCCCACACTGTGCTTGTTTTGATTGTCATTCAGAGAGCCACCTCCCAGGCGCTGGTGCAACACCTGTCAGGTATACTATGTGGGGGATCTGATCCAGCACCGCAGGACACAGGACCACAAGGTAGGAGGTGCTCCTGCTTTGAAGGCTCCTGCATGCACCAAGGCCTGGGGAGGAGGGAGCCAGGACAGAGTGGAAGTAAAGCTCTGTCCTTGTCTGCATGTGTCACTCCCAGCTGGGGCACAGCACCTGCCCTTCCGCCACAGGGCTCACAGGTCCTTTAGGGGCTCCCCTCTCTCTCGTCTTGTTGCCACCTGGAGCCTATCTCCTGGGTGCCACAGGGAAGGGCTGTGTTTGTGAGTGTCCCAGGGCAGAGGCAGAGCCAGGCCAGCTGATGACAGATGCGCTGGGCCTGCAGGTGGGAGGAGTGGTCTTGCTGGGTGCTGCCTGGCCACTCATCTGTGGGTCACACCTGGGGTGCTTCCTGCCATGCACATGGCCTGGCCTCCTTTTCCTAGGTCGCCAAACAGTCCCTGAGACCCTTCTGCACTATTTGCAACCGCTACTTCAAGACCCCCCGCAAGTTTGTGGAACATGTGAAGTCCCAGGGGCACAAGGACAAAGCCAAGGAGGTAACCCCAGCTGCCTCAGAGGACATGGGCCTGGAGAGGTACAGAGCCTTGGCCAGGGCCACATGGCAGGTTGGGCTCTAACTCAGCAGGTCCAAAGGGACCGGGACTCTCAGGGGCATGTGGCATCTCGGCTGCCTACGGCTGCCCCACGCCCTTCACCCTCTCCCCTGTGTATTTGAAGACACTCGAGAAGGAGACGGCTGGCCAGGATGAGGACCACTTCATCACAGTGGATGCCGTGGGCTGCTTTGAGGGCGATGAAGAAGAGGAGGAGGAGGACGATGATGAAGAGGAAGAGGTTGAGGTTGAGGAAGAACTCTGCAAGCAGGTGGCTGGGGTGGGCTGCAGTAGGCAGGTTGCAGTAGGCAGGCTGTAGGCTGGACAGCTCAGCCCGGAAGGCCTTAGTCCACCCCAGGGGCTAGGCCTGGGGCTGGCACTTGTAGCACTCATGTTGCCTCAGGGTTATTAGCACGGACTGTATTGAATGTGACCATGTAGATGTGCAGCAGGGTGACTATTGAGTAGCAGCTGAAAAATGTGGGGCCTGGAAGCCTGGTGGAGATTCAGACTGGTCCAGGGGAAGGGAAAGGTGTCTTGAGCAGAGAGGCACAGAGTAAGGTCATGGTGGTGATGGTGATGGTGTTGGCAGCTGACTTTTTTTGTTTTTTGAGCACTTACTATGTACTAGGCAGGCACCATGCACTGTACTGCAGAATCTCATCCTAGTGGATGGCAGGAAGGGAGACTAATAGCCAGGCTGGTGCATGCCAGACTCATGATGGCACACGCCTGTAATCTCAGCACCTGGGCTGCTGAGGCAGGAGTATTGCTATGAGTTTTGAGGCCAGTCTAGGCTACATAGTGATTCGAGGCTGGTCTGGAATACATAGTGATACTGTCTCAAAAAACAAAAAAATACAAAGTGAGGTTCCTGAGCCCATGCCTCTAATGGCCCGGCTCTGTGTCTCTAAACGAGGAGTTGGTCAGGTCTTCGATATTTGCCAGTTTAACAGATGTTTCTGGGAACCTGACTGGGGCCAAGCCCTGGTGCTAGACACAGGTACATGACGTGTGAGGCCCAAGGCCTGGCCCCTGCCTCACAGAGGCTGCCTGTTTATAGTCCAGGGTGGTCATAGGAAGGGCTTGCCAAAGGGGACAGTGATTCTGGGAGCCACACGGCTAGTGGTGGAGGACGCTTCAGGGTGTGCTAGGGCTGACAGGGCTGGGGATAGTCTCCTCTGGAAGGGGCCTGTGTCTGGCAGGTGAGACACAGGGTCCTTGGTCACCTGAAACCGACTCCAGGACTAAGATCACCGCAGTGTTGGGTGGGAACTCAGGGAGCTGAGGGTTCCCAGGTGAGAATTTGAACTCCGGCTCGAGCCCACCAGGGTTCACTCCCTGGCCTCTCCACAGACCAGAGAAGCCCTGGGCAAGTGAGTTAATGTCCCCGCAGCCTCAGTTTCCTTTTTTGCAAGATGGGTGTAGCCATAGGGTTGCTATGAGCAGTCACTGAGGTGAAACACGTGATCTGTTGGGCACACTTGGCAGATCGCGGCCACTGTGTGGGGGGGAGCTGCCTGGAGGACAGGACAGGTTGAGCAGGGCCTGGAAAGCACAGAGTAGGAGGGGCATCTCTGACGGCAGCGCCCCACACACCAGAAATCTAGGGGCTGGGGCTTGGGGTAGCCAGACCGGGATCTGAGGCCCTCACTTGCATTTCTCCAGTTGAAGTGCAAAGATGGCTCAGGAGAGGAGCGGAAGGGCTTGGAGACCTACAGCTCCAGCACTGTGTATGGTAAGACCCAAGCTCCGAGCCCACCAGTGGGGACAGTGGTCCCACCTCCAGGTGACCCCCCAGGTCCCAGCCGCTGCATTCCAGCCAGCCAACCTGTCCTCTTCTGCCCCCACCTAGACGGTGGGTGTGGGGTAAGTGGGCCCCAGAGGGGGCAGGACACCTGGCTGGTCCTGAGGACTTGTGTACATGACCCTGCCCTTGTAGGTGTGGACTTCCTGGTACCCGTGATGGGCTACATCTGTCACGTCTGCCGCAAATTCTGCCATGGCAGCTCCAGGGCGCGGCTCTCCCACTGCAAGTCGTTGGCCCACTTTGAGAACATGCAGGTGAGCTGGACCCCCTCCTTTGCTTGGGGACACAGCCTCTGTCCCCGCTGACAGATGGCCAGCAACCACAGCCCTTGTGCTTAGCCTGTCCCCAGGCACACACCTGCCGTGGGCAGGGAGTCAGAGCTGGGGTGGGGCTGGGTTCTTTGTGTCCCTGCTCTAGGGAAGCTGAGGGCAAGGCTGTTGGCTCCCAAACCTGGCTCAGAAGGGCCAAGGGCGTCACACAGGGTCACAGCGCACTGGGCTGAGGAAGCTGCTGCTGGCCAAGAGAACCCAGGTAAGTAGGAAGCCCTGACCTCAGTGCACCCTCTGTCCAGAAACACAAAGCAGCTGAGAGCTCCGGCCCCACGTCCCGGCCCGTGAGCCGCCAGTGCGCCATCAATGCCCGCAATGCGCTGACTGCACTGTTCACCTCCAGTGTTGGCGGTGGCCGCTCGCCCAGCCAGTCCAGCCCCCAGGACAAGGCCAAAACCCCCAGCAAGGTGACGCCTGGATCCCAATCCCCTAATCCCCCTCCCCGGCCTCGGCGCTCGAGCCGCCTCAAAACCTGAAAGCTCAAGCTCCTTGTGTCTGGGTCCAGATCTGTTCATGCTTTTAGGATTTTGTGTGGAAATGAATGTGCTTGATGTTTTTACTCAAAACACAATAAAAGATAGTTTGGATGCACAGTGCCCACCAGCACTTCTGTTTGGTGGACTGGTGACAGGGCGCCCAGCAGCTCTCACTCAGCACCCAGCCTCTCTGGGTACAGCTGGTGCCACCAAAGTGTGGTCAGTGCCTGGAAGCCTCGACAGCCCTTTCACTGCCAGTGGTCCCGGGGTCTGCATCCTGGCACACAGAGGACAGAGGCGCAGTGGTGTGGGAGACCCGTTTAATGTAGGGATTCGATCCTCGACAGAGTGGGGCATGCCCGGGAGGTGGGCAGACTGGTGGGTGGGTGACCAGCCCATACCTGGGCCCAGGAGGGACGCTGGGCAGTAGGGGCGGGCCCACAAGGGGACCAAAGGCCAGTCTTCAAGGTGTTGAGGCCAGAAGGTGAGTGCCCAGGCAGAGCCTGGCCCAGGGACACAGGGCTGGGGCCTGCCCCAGGGACTCCTGCAGCCTAGGGGCTGGCATCATCAGTGGCCTCCCCGAGCTGCTGCTGGAACTCGAGGCGTGTCTGCCGGTTGGACTCCAGCAGCTCCTGGAGGCGGGCGTGGAGGTGGTCGTTCTTCTCCTCCAGGTGGTCCAGGCAGGAGTTGATCTGGTCCAACATGGAGTTGATGGCGGCGTACTCTGGAGGAAGGGGAATCAGAGTCAAGTCCTGTGTCGCCTCAGGGCTCACTGATCCCCTCACATTCCACTGTGCCCCAGCTGGCCTCCAGCAGGGCTTCCGGCAAGGCAAATCCCTCCTTCCTGAGCCTCACTGTCACCATCTGGAAAGTGGGTGGATTCCAAAAGGAGAAAGACTTGGAAGAAATAAAACCTTCATGCGCTTTTTCCTAGGGTTAGGGTTGTGTCAGGGCAGACAGCTGGGATCCTGCCCTGGGGGTCTGGTGGATGCCGAATCTCTCCTCTTCCTTCAGCAGCTGCGTAGGCACAGCCTGTGTCCTGAGTCTGGCAGTCAAGGCCACTGTTCTTGGCTAAACTCACCCTTTGGCCCTTCCATGGCTCCCTCTGCCTTCAGGATAAAGCACTCAGCAGACTGTCCTGAGCCTTGGAATGGGAGCCAGCCCGCTATCCTCTGCTGAGCTTTTTCTTTCCCTCTCCCACTAGCTTTTGCCTACCTCAGGCCCTTGAATGTGCTGTTTGTTGCCTCTGGCTGGAACGCACTGGGTCCTCCTCTTGTCTTCCCTCCTCCTGGATAAGTCCCAGGATGTCGCCACTGGGGAGCCTTCCCAGTACCCGGGCCTGATCATCCTCTGTTCTGAGACCCTGGCCATCCCGGCCCCTCCCTGCCTCTCCCTCAATCAGGACTGACCACTGTGATTATTTATGTGCCCATCTGTGTTCTCCCTTGACTATAAGTCTCCAAGAAGTGGCTGATCTTATGTTTGCTGCTGTCTCCGCAGTGCCCTCCCAACAAAACAATTGTTGAATGGATGAATGGGTGAATGAATGAATGAATGAAGTTCTGACTGTCCAGCCTGTCTGCCTCCGCTCATCTGTCCCTGCCACCCAGAATGCATTGGTGCAACAACCTTTCCAGGACCAGCTCACAAAGACTTCTCCAAGAAGTCCTCCCAGGTCTCCACTTGAAACTTCTCCCTCTGCCTCCATTCACGACCTGCCTCTTGGGGCAACACAGTGTCCCGTAGGCCCCAAGGTCTGGGCCTGTGCCCACTGCGGGACCCAGTTCTATGCCAGCACATGAGTCAGATACATGAGGCTGCCAGCATGGGACTAGAGGGGAAGTGGCTGGTGGTGCATGTGGGATGTGGTGTGAATATGCCTGCATTCTAGAGGAGGGGCAGCATTGCCCAGAGAGGGCGATGTCCCCTCACAGGACAGTCCTGGGAGTCTGCTGGACCTCAGAAGTCCACCCCCCTTGTGGTACAGATGGGGAAACAGGCCTAAGAAAGAAGAAACCTGTGCGGGTCCCATGGCTGGTTGATGACAGAACCAAAACAGACTTGGGGATTAGTGGCTCTTGGGTTTGAGCTCCAGCTGTTCCACCCTAGCAAGTTACTGTGGCTCCTTTCTGGAAAAGGTTGAGAACAGGATTCAAATACACCAAGAATTCAGACAGGGTCTGGGCACAGCACGCACTCAATAGATGGTCATTATGATCAACATTTTGCATTCAGCATCAGGGCCACAAGCTGGGATGAGGGGTGGGGGAGGGGGTGTCTCCACACCACTCTGGGCCCTGGCTTTATTTGTGTCCAGTTCCAAGCCTTTGATTCTGCCCAGGACACCCTCCTCCCTACTGTTCCGTGGCCCTGCCAGCATCCACTCTGTGACCTCCTGGGAAGCCCTTCGCAATGCTCCCACCAATGGCTCCCACAGTGATGACAATCTGGCCCCTGTCCACCAGCATCAGCAGTGCACACCTGCTAGCCCACTCCTTGGCCCCAGTGTGGGGTCTTCTACCTCTATTAAAAGCAGATCCTGGCCAGGTAGTGTAACATTCATCTGTAATCCTGGCTACAGGGGCAACTGAGGCAGGAAGATCACAAGTTCAAGACCTGTCTGGTCAATTTAGGGAGACCCTGTCTCAAACAATGAGAGGGCTGGAGCTGGATGTGGTGATACATGCCTCTAAGCCCAGCACTCTGGGAGGCTGAGGCAGGAGGACTGCAAATTCAAGTCCAGAGTGGGCAATTAGTGACTTAGCAAGACCCTGTCTCAAAAAAAAGAAAGAAGAGTGAGGCCGAGGACATAACCCTGTACAAAGGCCCTAGGTTCAATCCCCAGTATCAAAAAACACAAAAGGGGCTGGGGATTTAGCTCAGTGGTTCGGCTGCCTGCCTCCAAAGCCCAAGGTCCCAAGTTCGATCCGAAACCAAGCAGACTGTGGGTCATGAAAATGTAAAACGATTGTGTGGATGCATGCACAACTCTGATTCAACTACAAGCCATGCAATTGTACAATTTAAATAGGTAAATTGTACACTGTGAATTATAGCTCAATAAAGCTGTTACCAAACCCAGAAAGCCTACTCTATCTTACCCCACGTTTACTAAGTCCTGACCTCTACGTTAATACAGCAGTCTTACTACAGCAAAGAGAATCCTCATAATCCCCATAACCACAACACTCTGCATGCTGGAATCTGCTAAGCACTTTGCATTCCATGTTTCCTCTAACCCTATACTACGGGAGGCACTAATCACTATTCCTATGTTACAGATGGGGAAACTGAGGCTCAAGGAGACGAGGAGCCGAGGGTTGGTGGTCCTCCCGCCCTCCCGCAGTGCTCGGTTGAGAGTCACCAGGAAAGCGGTGGTTGGGGTGCTGACTCAGCAGAGCGGGAAGCCCACTGTAGTCCCCTACAGCTAACCCGAGCTGGTGAGCTCGGTCCCGCCCCTCTGCGGTGAAGGAAGCGGCTGGAGCAAATCCCAAACGGCTGTGCGTCCCTGAGCTGCCTCAGTTTCCACATCTGTAAACCGGAGCTGGTTGCCCACAGTTTTCCAGTGCTGCGGTTTCCATGGAGGGCTCGTTCTCTGGTGCTTGCCTTGCACTTGAGACAGCTCCAGGACAACGCGGGGGCGCCCAGGGGCCTCTTGGGGTTCAGGGGGCCTCTTCCGTCCCTTCCAAGCCCCCATCCCCGCCCCGATTCCCCTGCCAGGCAGCAAGCCCAGAAAAGCAAAGGCGGCTTCCACACCCTCCTGGGTCACCTGCTTCCTCGAAACCGTCGTCCTCCCCTTCCGTGGCCGCCTCCACCGGCATGCCCAGATCCCCGTTGGGGCCCGACATTGCGGGCTCGGGCGCCGCAGGGGCAGCGCAACGATGGGAAGCGGCGACGGTCGCGCCGAAAGCCGGCGGAGCCGGGCGGAAGGTGGAAGCAGCAGGCGAACGCCGGGCGGAAGGGTGGAACCCAAAGGCGGCGGGCGGCCCGGCAGCCAGGGCCCGGCCCCAGGGGCGGAGTCCAGAGGCCGGAGCTCCGCCTCCTCCCCGCCCACGACTAGGACCCGGCCCTCGACCCGCTGTCTAACACCGCCCCCAGGAGGGACCACGCCCACACAGTGTAGACCCTCGCCCCTCACCCGCCCCCCCCAGCCTCGCCCCTCAAAGGGCCTCTGGGCTGGGCGGTACCGCAACAGCCAGGAGGCCGAGGCGCAGGCCCGCGGGAAAGATGAGCGAGCCCAGGAGAGCCCGGAAGAGGGGCAGAGCACCCTGGACCCCTACATTCTGTCCCATACTGTCGCTGTCGCCGCGTGACCGAAATCAGAGACTTGGTTTCCAAGGCCTCCCCTCGCTTCAGACACTCCTGGCCACAGCGCCCATCCCGCTCCCGCCACCTGGTCTACCTCCTCCGCGCCTCCACCAGCTCCCGCAGTGACGCCACCACCCTTACACGGTCTTGGGCCTCCCTCCGATTCCAGCGCTTCCCTTAGGGCTCTCAGAGGCAACTCCTGTGCACAGGTGGGACTCAGCCCAGACTGGAGCCCTAGACAAGACAAGCAGGGACAGTTCCTGTTAGGCAGAGCCCCGTAGCTGGGCAGGGGCAGGAGAGGGGTGCGAGGCTTCCCCAGACCTGGCTCTGCTCAAGTGCTTCCAGGACTGTTATGGTTTCCCTACGGAAGGGACTGGCTGCCTCCTCCCGTGGGTGCTGCAGTGCGCAGCGGAGGCCGTTGAGCCACGGAGCAGGCTTGGTGTGACTGCCAGCAGGATACTAATGTGGCCCAGCTGCCGTCACTCCCCATCCGATGGACTGGTGTGGAAAGAGAGGGCTGTACAGAAGTCACCTCACCAGCAGGCTCACTCCTGGATGGGACCCAGAGGTGTGATCCTATCCAGGGGTCCAGCTGAGACTCAGGCCCACATCCCAGGAGACAGCGGCTCACTTCCTGGGACTCCTGCAGCTGTAGTGGCCAGGAGGCCCTATGGCTGCAGCGGTGTCCTGGTCTCCAATTGGATTGGATGCCTAAGAGTGTTGGCCATGCTCAGCACGGGGGCCAGGCCTGGTACATGTCCCAGGAGGTGACAGGAAGGTGGAGCCAGGTGGAGCTCACAGCCTGCTATAGGGACCACTACTGGATTACGCACGAGTAGCACCACCTTCTCCCTGACCCAGGTGGAGTGGCAGTGGGGACCACTGAATCAGTGCCCAGAGGATTCCAGAGAAAGGTCCCTTATGTGGGTCAGCTGACCATCACTGCCTGAAAGTGAGGACCCACCAGGGACAGGGGTTTGCTAATGCTATGCTGCATCTTTGAAGCTGTATTTCTGTTTTTTCCCCTTTAAGCCTTTTTTTCCCCTTCAGTTCTTTTTTTTCCCCATCCCCTTTCTCTCCCTTCCCTCCCTTTCCTCCCACCTCTTATTCCTTTTCCCATTTCAAAAAGATCTCCCTCTTTCTTGTTATCTTTTGTTTTACTCTTTATATTTTGGGTTTCTCATAAGGAAATCATGTGATATTTAAGCTTGTGTGTGATTTATTTCACTTAGCATTATGGTCTCAAGGTATATCCACTTACCTATGAATGCCTCAAGTTTATCACTTTTTTTTTTTTTGGTACCAGGGATTGAACTCAGGACCTTACGCTTTCAAGGCAGGTGCAGCATCACTGAGCTAAATCTGTGGCCCCGTTTATCATTCTTTATGGTGGAGTAGTACTCCATTGTGTATAAATATCACATTTTCTTTATCCATTCATCCTTTGATGGACATAAATGCTGCTTCTAAGGCTTAGCTATTATGAATTATAGTGCTATAAACATAGGTATGTATGTATTCCTGTAATATGATGACTTTAACTCTTTTGGGAAAATACCTGCAAGTAAATAGCTGGGTCAAATGGAATTTCTAGTTTTAGGTTTTTTTTTTTTGTATCTGGGATCGAACTCAGGACCTTGTGCTTGCCAGGCAGGCACGGTGCCACTGAACTAAATATCCAGTCCAGGTTTTTTTTGAGTAATCTCTACTGATGCTAATCTCTCTTTTTTTTTTTCAGTACCAGGCATCGAACTCAGGACCTTGCACTTTTGAAGTAAGCGGCCGACCCACTGAGCTAAATCCCAGGCCCTAAGGTGAATCTCTATGGTGGTTAAACTGCTTTACATTCCTATCAACAATGTAGAAGGGCTCCCCCTACTGGCCTCTTCAGCATTTGTTACTGATTTTTTTTTTTTGAAACTGTCTCACTGTGTAGTTTAGGTTGGGTTGGTTTTGAATTGAAGCGATACTCCTGCCTCAGCCTCCAGGGTGCTGGGACTACAGGCGTGTGCCACTACACCTGGCTGTTACTTGATTTTTCTTTTTCTTTTGGTACCAGGGAATTGAACTCAGGACCTTGCACTTTTGAGGCAGGCTCTGGAACCACTGAGCTAAATCCCTGGCCCTGTTACTTGATTTCTTGAAGATAGCCATTCTTTCAGGTGTGAGATGGAACTTCAGTGTTGTTTTAATTTGGATTTCTCAAATGGCCAGTAATGTTGAACATTTTTTCATGTATTGGCCACTTGGACTTCTTCTGAGAAGTGTCTATATATCTCAGTTGCCCACTTTTTGATTGGGTCTTTTATTTTGAGGGCCTAATATTTTTGAGTTCTTTATACATTTTGGATGTTAGTACTCTGGCCAAGCAATAATAGCTGGCAATTTTTTTTCCTATTCTGTAGGTTGTCTCTTCATTCTGTTTGGTTATCTCTTTTGCTGTGTAGAAGCTTTGTAATTTGATATGATACTATTTGTTGGTTCTTGGTATTATTTCTTGTGCCATTGGGGTTCTGTTTAGAAGTCCTTGTCTAAATTTATGTCTTCAAGAATTTTATGTATTTTATCTTCTAGCTGATTAAGTGTTTCCGTTTTAACATTTGAGTCTTTGACCCTTTTTGATTTTAGTTTAGTACATGGTGAGATGTATGGGTCTAGACTCAATCTTCTGCATGTATATATCCAGTTTTCCCAGCTGTTTATTAAAGAGGTCATCTTTCCTCCAGTGTATGTTTTTGGCTCTTTTGTCAAAGATTAAATAGCTGAATGTCTCTGGGCTTGTTTCTACTTCCTCTATTCCATTCCATTCCATTGATTCACATGTCTGTTTTTGTGCCAGTATTGTACTGTTTTTTTTGGTACTGAGGATCGAACCTGGGACCTTGCACTTGTGAGGCAGCCACCAGAACACTGAGCTAAAGTGGCCTGGGGGGACCTTGTACTGTTTTTTGTCACTGTAGCTATGTGACCTAACTTCATATCTGGGATTGTGATACCTCCTGCTTTGCTTTTGTTACCCAGGATTGCCTTCTCTATTCTGGGTCTTTTCTGGTTCCATATGAATCTTAGGATTGTTTCCTCTAGATCTATGAGGAATGCTATTGGTTTTTTGATTAGAATTGTATTAACCCATTTATGCTGAAGATTGAAATCTTTTGAATTTTTGCGTGAAATTCATGTATGTTACCTAGAAAAATTCAAGGAACAAGAATTTGAAGAGAAAACATTTCATTGTGTTCTGTTGTTATGGGCAATTTAAAAATGGATCACTACTTGGGCATGGTGGTGCATGCCTGTGTTCCCAGCCCTCAGAAGGCTGAGGCAGGAAGATTGTCAAGTTTGAGGCCAGCCTGAAATACATAGTGAGTTCAAGGCCAGCCTGAACCGCATAGCGAGACCCTGTCTCAAAAAACCAAAAAGGATCACTAGGTATTGAAGGGACCTACAGGTCAGTTTTGGAAGTATAGCCATTTTGGCTATATCGCCTCTCCCTATCAGGAACATGGGATATCTTTTCCTTTTCTAATGTTCCCTTTCATCTCCTTTTCCAGAGTGATGTAATTTTTATTTTAGAAGTCTTTCAATTTCTCTATTAAGTTAATTTCTAGGTATTTAGTTTTTCTTGATGCTACTGAGAATTGTATTATTTTATGAATTTCTTTCAGTGAGTTTATTATTAGTGTACAGGAACGCTATTAACTTTTTTTTTTTTTGGTACCAGGGTTTGAACTCAAGACCTTGCGCTTGAGAGGCAGGTGCAGTGCCACTGAGCTAAATCCCAGTCTAACACTATTGACTTTTGTGGGTAGATTTTGTATCCTGCTACATTACTGAATTTGGTTATTAATTCTAGGAGTCTTTTGTCATAGATTTTAGGCCTTATAAGTAGAGGGTCATGTCTTCTGCAAATAATGGTACTTTGACTTCATTTTTTCCTGTATGTACCCTTTTTTTCTTTCTCTGGCCTGATTGCTCTGGCTAATGTTTTCAGGACTAAATTAGAGGAGTGGTGAAAGTGGATTTCCTTATCTTGTTCCTGATTTTAGGGAGAAAGCTTTCAGTTTCCCCCATTTAATAGGGTGTTGGCAGTAGGTTTGCCATAAATGCCTTTTATTAGATTGAGATAGGATCTTTCTATACCAATTTTCTGTGAGGTTTTTTTTTTTTTTTTAATAATGAATGAATGTTGGATATTGTCAAAGGCTTTTCCTGCATCTGTTGAGATGGTCAGACAATTTTTGTCCTTGTTTCTGTTTATATGATGGATTACATTTATTGATTTGCATATGGTGAGTCATCTTTGTATCCCTGGGATGAAACCTACTTGGTCATGGTGTATGAGCTTTTTTTTGGTACCGGGGATCAAACTTGGGACCTTACGCTTGCAAGGCAGGCGCTGGAACCACTGAGCTAAATCCCCGGCCTGCTGTATGAGCTTTTTGATGACTTGTTGTATTCTATTCACCAGTAGCTTGCTCAGGATTTACAAAAAATTTTTTTTGGAATTTCCAGATTTATTAACAAATCATTCAAAATTTTTTATTAGTACATGTTTGCAGTACACAGTGATTATATTCATTGTGGGAAATTGATACATGTGCATGACACATCTCAATTTTTTTCCCTTCCCCTCCACCCCTG